AATTGTCGCGGTAGGCACCGGCAGGGAGATCATCACAAACGCCGTGAGTTTGGAGACGTGGAACAATCGGGAGCATGAGGCCAAGATTCTTCATCCAAAAAATAATCAGTGTTGTTGCGTTCAAGAGAGGCATAGCGTTGGATGTCACTCACGGAAGCTTCGAAAACATCGATATGAGCGAACGCGGATAGGTGAGGCTTGGAGGACTGGGGCCGGGATGATGGAAGTCTTGACTACTGGAAGGCCTGTTTTCGGATCGCAGACCGAGGTAAATACAAAGGAGGGTATACAAAACTCGACAACAAGGTAGAGGGAAGGGGTGAAATTTGTATTGTCTAGATATTTGATCAATTTTCCAACCTCTCCCAGTATTCATGCCCCAACCCGAATAGAAGTCATGAGGTCACATCGCCCTGCCGCACTCCGTCCCATCATTCCACACGTGCACCGATCGCACGGTATCAGAACACCATGGACGACCGAAACAACCACCAGAACATTAACAACCGTTCATGCTTGACCAACAGCAACAGCAACAGCAACATAACACCAATAATAACCAAAACCACCTAACACAACAACAACAACAACAACAATGTCGCACACCTTGCTCGCCAGGAACTTCTTATAGGCGGCCTTGTAGTCGATCGGCGTGCCGGCCCCCCTCATCTGCAGGTTCGCGGCGAAGGACATCGAAGCTGCGTCCGACAGCTCCGCCCCCTTCTCGTACATCTCGTACGACTTCTCCAAGTCCTGGTCGAGCCCCCTAACGGAGAACAAAAAAAAAAAAGGTTCAAGAACCCATGTCACAAATTTCCGTATGCATGCATGCATACACATGCATGCGTGCACAAATCTCAAAACAACGTAGAGTCGCACAGCAAACAAAAGTGCCAAAACCTTGTGAGTCTGAATTTCGCCTGGTTGGTTACTGCCAAGAGTAGTGAAAGCGTGGGTTGCAACAAGCTCTGCAACTGCCGTTGCACCTCCCAAGGTGACTCTCAGGTAGAATGCATGACCACAGCACCTCTGCATGCGCAGCAAGAGCGTGCCTTGCGCATCTTCCTGTCACGAATGGCCGGTTCCAATACGCCTAGATGCAAGCGTCGTCAGTCCATCAAGATTGTAACAAACCGTTGTATAGGTCGAGCGATGCTCGGGTGACAGCAGTGGGCACGCCATCATCTCGAACCGTTTGCACCAGACGGCGCTGCCATTTTTACGTGAGACTATGGTTAAATAACTGATACATGAGAACTTGGAAAAATAACTGCGTGTTCATAGGCTGTCCTCCTCGGTCATCGAGAACCAGAAATCCATTTCGAAGAATGACTTGTATCTATCTTGCAACTCTTGTACACCCCGGCTTGTATCGAGAATCCCCGTGAAAGGAATCACAACCGGTTTCTGCCTCCCCGGTAGAAGGGGGAGGGCTTCACTAAAAAAGAAGGTGGCACACCGACTCGAACCGGGTGGGAGCGGAGACGAAAGGTTTACCCACAAAAACGAAGGTCCTTCACATTCTTTATTTTTTTTGTCTTGACTTCAAATCAGCGCTCACAGCACTTGTGCCGTTTGCTCCACAACCCGTGGTCACACAGAAGGGTTCCGCTCTCTGAGGCCCCCCACCCTACCCACCCCTCCTGCGGTTCTGCTGTACCTTCGATTCCTAACGCGAGAAGAGTACAGCACTCTGTTTACAAAGCCGCAATCTACTCCATTAACCACAACACGAAACACACCTGGCACCGTGTTGGTACAGCAACCCCATCACCCTGATGGAACCCACGTCTCCTATTTCCGCCCCGGCCCGCCAAATGTCCACCAGCTCCTGGTCCGAGTCGGAGGCCGGCCGCCTGCCCGCGACGAATCGCACCGACAGCCGCGTCCGGTCCACGTTTCTCGAGACCCCGCCGCGTCCTTCCGCGTGAAGGTCGGCGATGACCTCCCGCGCGGCCATGTAGTAGTGTGCAAGGGACTTCTGGCAGCTCTGCGGGGTTCCGATTCTGGTTTGGGAGGCGGGGGGAGGGGGGCAGGGGTAAGAGCGTGCAGCAAGCGCGTGGTGCCGGCGAACCACCAACCAACCAACTAACACAAGGGAGAGGGTCTATCTAGCGCTATTCTTCAATGCCTTGCGATAATTTGTTCAAATATCGTTCCAGCAGGAGGGCAGCACTGCCGTAGTTAGGGCACGAGGAGCGAGCCAAATAGTACCAAATCTCCTCGAAGCTTCCACGAGAGCACAAACGTTGGGGTCGGTGTGGCCCAGTGTCTGGGGGTGTAACAAACGTGTGTGTGCGCCGTGCCATTTGGTCTGCGCGTCAACAATCTACACCTTCGGTTTTCTCACGAGTGGACGTGCTTGCGTGTGGAGAGTCGAAAGCAGCTCTCTGGCCAAGATGAGTCCAAAGACGATGGAAAGTCAGTCCCTCCACGCAAAAGTACATTTGCGCGATCGTGGGGACGATATACAGCAGCACCACTACGGCGATTGCAGCAAGCGGTTGTGCGTTCCCACCAAAACCGTTTCAATGGAAACCCTCCGACCCGATTCCTGACCGGCAGATGCAATTTCTTCGTCACGTTCCTTTGCGTTGTCCTAGAGACGTGTACACAACCAACAACCCGCAAGCCTTAGATTTGTCCGTCTCTACAACGTGGACGACTGCAATACCAGCGAGCATAAAATTAGATCTGTCCATCCCTGCAAATCTGAAGAATAACTACAGCAGTCTAATTTGTGAAGTTTGCGTGGTACGGTCGTGTATGATGTTCTTCAAAAGGCCAACGAGCAATACAAGTTTTGTGTTCTTGTGCTGTAAATTCGTGCGCACCCGGTGGGCCAACGAATAATCGACACGTTTGGCCTATCCTACGCAACAAGAAAGACACCGCTGGTTGGAATTACTTGTGCAGCTGCGACGCCGCGAAGGAACGCTGTTGTCGCCTGCGCACGAACGCCGTTTTGCTTTCACATGGTAGAATTGAAAGCAGTAGTGCCTCATCGAGTGGTCGAAGCTGGTTCTCCGATCACTAGAGTATGAAACCACCACCTACCAAACAAGTGCCCTACTATTAATAGCGTCGGGTGGTGCTCATGGGAAATATCTTGGCGCGCCAAAGGATTGTTTTTTCCCTGCTCGCAGAGGTGCAACCGAATCGCGGCATGACACGTGTCCGTCCGTACGTACGGGCAGCTATCAGAAAAGTGCAGCTAAACTAGAGCATACGCATATGCATAGCTGCAAGGGCAGGGCAAGCAGTACGTCTCCCTCCTGGCAACGGACGGCAGGCAGCAATCCCATACCTTGCTAAACGGGACGTATCCTCTCTGTCTGCTTGTCCGGGGTCGGCAGTTGCATCACAACACCTTGGAGTTGCACTGTAAGCACACAAACGTTTGTGTCATGAAGAGACTGCGTCTCTTGAGAAGCAAGTTCTTCCTCTTACACACACAAAGTATTCCTCCAGGAGTACGGTAAACCACACGACGAAACCTCCCGTACTTACCCGTAAAGGTAGCGATACCCAAGCGCCGCGTGTGCCAGCGGATCGCCCCCGAGCGACGCGAAAAAGTCGTACAGGACGGCTTCCACGTCCTCGCCGCCCTCGCCCGCGCTGCCGGCCAGGAGCGTAGACAGCGCGTGCTGGGAAGGCGGGTGCCCGAGCTTGGCCGCGCGCTCGTAGAGAGCCCGCGCGGCATCCTCGTCCCTCTTGATGCCCACGTCCTCGCGGCCCTCGTCGTGGGCGCGGCCGAGCAGGAAGAGTGTCTCCAAGGTGGGGAAGACGGGCTCGGTGTTGAACTGCTCGAGAGTGTCCGTGGAGCGGAGAACGTTGGTCCCGTAGCGGAGGATGTCGGCTTCTTCTGGTTCGTCGGGAGCAAGACTTGGTGGTGGTGGTGGTGCTGCTGCTGCTGCTGCCAAGAGCAGTGCTACTGCTGCTACTTCCAGAGCAAGATGGAATCGTCTGCTCGGTGACTGCAACAGCCGGCCCATCGTGATGCTCGGCTGCTGCTGTGCGTGTGTGTATGTTGCACGTGGCTTGTTGCTTGTTGCTCTCCGATGTTCAAACGACACACGGCTCGGAATTTGACCCCCATATGAAAATTCATCCGCGTGGTAACTTGACAGGCACTCGAGCAGCACGCAGCACACAGCACACAGGACACAGCACACAGCGCCAGAGCAGGCCTGTGCGTGGTTACAGCTGCAGGCATGATGCTTGCGCGATCAATCAGCCGTGTTGCGGCTGGCTCTGCACGACGCGCGCGTGACGGACAGCGGGCTTGCATCTCCTCGCTTGTTCGAGGATGCAACTCCTCCTCATCGACGCCTGCGCCGCGACCCAGGGTAACCAGGCCAGCAGCCTGGGGTGATGCTATGCTGCCAGAGCCGATCAAGGTCGGTAGCTGCCGGAGGCATCTTTCGTCAGGCCGTCCGCCATTTGACATGGGAGAAGACGAGAACGAGGTGGACGGTGAGCTGCTTCCTAGCTTTGGGTGAACGTCACGTGTGCACGTACATCGTACACAGCACCGGCCTCCACTGCTGCTTGCTGCTCTTGCGTTTGTCCACTATGTACTGTCCGTCCGTGAAGGGGTGTGAGCACAACTATACCGCCAAGGGCGTTGGTTGTGTTACATGATGCACCATCACAGTGGGGACAAAAAATGACTGTGATTTCCCAGGGATGGCCAAAGGCAATGCAGTCCGTATTTGCGTTGTGGTCATGAATGGAGTATAGGATCGCGCCTGTGTTCCTTGACAGGAACAGGAGCACTGCTGTATAGTCGGGTGTTCCAGACACGGGAGCCTTCGCTCTCCGCCCCCTCTCGTGCTGTTCTGGCCAGGCATTGCTGTTGTTCCTAACCCCCCGGGGTACTGCTGTAGACAAGACGTCACCGCAAAGTTGTCAAGTGCCCATTTCTTGTCTACGGCAGTTAGGGTAGGCTCTCGCCGAGTCCGAACCGCCCATCACGAGAGGGACAGTTGTGGCGCATCATGTTGGAACGCACCCAAATGGTAGTGAAAAACCCACGTACTCCTGTTGTGTACCTAACATGTAACTCCTACCCACCCAACCCAATCTATCTATCTATATCTCTTTTCAGTTACCCCGATCGGAAACAAGCCGGGGCAGATAACCCGAGAGGCCATCGCCGAAGCGGAGGCCTCCGAGGACCTTGACGACGACGACATCTTCTCCGGCAAGCCCTCCGACTGGGAGTACGACGCATCCACCGAAGAGGTAAGGCACGACAGCGAGGAGGCGGAGGCCGGCCGGGAGGGACTCCAGGACGAAGGCCACGAGGGGGAGGAGAACCCCCCCACCCCGATCCTCGACGCCTACGAAAAGTCCAGGGACCCCGCGGAGATGGAGCGGCTGATCGCCCTGGCGTTCGACTCTCTCCCCGAGCGCGCCGGGCCGCAGAGGTACAACCACAAGCGCCGGGAGCACCAGCGGTATAGGACTATTAGGGTGAGCGAATTGAGTGTTTTTTTGCGTCATACAGCAAGGATGAAGGCCCCCCCCCAAAAGGGGAAAAAGTTGCTATACTCGCTTTATCCCCGTATGCACGGTGTGCTTCGCTCTGACACCCCCTCCCCTATTGCTGTGCCTGTGCGGAGTCGACCAACACGAGGTCAAGGCTATTCCTCACAAGCAACCCTCACGGGTGTGGTCAATGATCTCGAGCACCATTTCCCTGCCCCCCACCCCAAATACGCACAAGTAATGCAGCCGTGAGGGCAGAATTGGGGATCCAATCCCTACGGTCGGGAAGAGACGCGAGGAAGCTGACCTGGCAGTATCGCATGTGCGGGATGGGAGAGGAGAGGTTGCCGAGAATTGTATGGGAGGCGAAGTGGGCAAACAAAAAGAGGGGTAGACAACCCACGGAATGGGTCAAGGTTGTAGAGGACGTATGGAAGGGGTTCGACATCGGCGAAGATGAAACGCTGGAAACGGAGGGTCCACAGGGGTTCAAGGAGAAGATATCTGTTGCTTGTGCCGAGAGAGAAGAACAGAATCTGAGGAAAGAATGCAAGGATAAGGAGGGTCTAGAAGTGTACGGAATGTTGAAGGAAGGAATAGGGTTCAAGGACTACCTACATGGACCAATGGATGCAGGAACAAAGCTTAAGGTCAAATTCAGGACCGGGGACATAGGCCTTCGAGAACGTCGACGAAGACATAGGACGGTAGACGAGGAAGACGACGAGTTCAAATGTGATTGCGGCTTCGAATGCGAAGACCGTGTTCATGTAGTCGCGGAATGTCCGTTGTACAAGAAGGAGAGGGAAGTGTACGTGACTGAGCTGGGAAAAATAGATGGAACGTACAGGGAGATGTTTGAGGCATGGAATAGAGAGGAAAGGACGGTAGCTGTACTGGGGCATAGGAGGTGGGTTGAAAAGGCGGGAAGGGATATCGTTAGGATAGACAGACTAGGGAAGACATTTTTGAGCCACCTTTGGCAAAGTAGAAAGGAACGATTGGCCATCGGTGATCGGTCCTGTGGTAACAATGCTCCGTCCTCTCGAGGACGCGTGGTCAATGGTCTAACCGCTAAGACATGCAAAACATAAGACTACGCCCCCCCCCCACCCCAAATACGCGCTTTGCCCGCCATGCGCCCTTTTTGTGTGTGTTCGCAAGCAGCACTATATTATTAATACTTGTTCCCGTCGTTCGTTTTATCTTGTCGTGTTTTAAGTATTTCCAACACCGCGTTGATTCTCCTGCGCACTTTTGCGCTTCCGACTAGAGATCCGTACTGCCTCGCATTCTCATTCCGCAACCCGCCCCTGAAACACCCAAGCCGTTCCATTCATGGACGGCTTGTGGCCCACCCCTGCTGCCCTCGTACAGGTCCCTTGCTCTGTCCAGTACAGTTTTGGCAAGCGCTGGTGCCTGTCACTGATGCTATTATACCCATTTTTTCTCACACGCCCGGCTTGCTTTGCCACGCCACGCGACCGAATACGTCCGTCCGCAGAACATCAAGTACAAGGAGAAGGCGCAGCGGACGGCGGCCCACGAGCGCAAGCTGCAGAAGAGAAGGGACCGAAAAGCGCGAGACTTGGCTCTGTTCGCCACCTGGAGAGACAAGGGCCCCGCCGAGGAGAGTGCAGACGCGGTTGGACGCTCGTAGAAGTGCCGTCTTGGACGCTCGTAGAAGTGCCGTCTTGTGCCTCGTGGGGGTGGGTGGGGGTTATTCTCAATAGCCGTGCATGCCGTAGTCGTTTAGACCATTGACCTCGCATCCTTAGAATAATCCCGGGACGGAGCACGCCGGGTTCTCAACAGACCAGGCTCTCACATCACCACGGCGAAGCGCCGCATGGGAGGCGGGATGTATTTTGTAGCGTGGTAGACGAAAGCGCGTAGTACTTTTGAGTGCTTTAGCTGTGTGCTCGCCACACTGTTCGTGTGTCTGTGCGTAGGTAGTGCTTAGACCGTTGGATGTCGTGTGCCAGGTATCGCAGCAGCACTGCCAACCCTGCACGGGTAGCGAGTAGTAAGAGCGTGCCGGACCCCCCGCAAGCGCAAAACAAGAATCGCATCTACCCCGTACCAAAATACTTGGTTGTCGTGGTTGTCATCTTGTTTGTTGATTCGGATAGTCTTTTGTTTGAAATTAAAGCGCTGCGCCGCGTCCGCTACCTGGTTCGTGGAAGCCGCGGCAGCAAGCCACGCCACTGTGCCGTCAAGCGGCCGGCTGGTTTATCGCAGATTCTGCCATACCATACCATCCATGGTACAGCGGTACGCGCTTCTGGGTCGTGTCAAAGAGTCCCGAACAAGCGCGGAAGAGGAGTTGTGGCGTCGTGCGTGTTTCTCGATCACCTCGCTCAGAAGGGTACGGGGGTGCGCGATGAGATTTTTCTTTTTTTCTAATCGAGAAGTGATTATCCCGCGGCGGAAAGTGTGACTGGGTGCCTGCTTCCCTTCGTGTTTGTTTTGGGGGCATTCTTCCTTGGGTCTCACTGCACGTTTGAAGCGAGTGGCGTACCGTGTTTTTCGCAACACGCAACTCGCAGACAGCATACATAGGCCCTGCCGACGCCGGTCGAAATAAACGACCTCGTGGTTTGCATGCGGCCAATCAATATCCAGCGGCATCAAGCCCGCTGACAGATAAGCCGGTTGCTGTGTGCTGTGACCTAAACCACCGTACGTAGATGCAAGCGCGGATGGCGCGACCGCACCGCGTTGAGCGTTTGTTCCTTTCTTCTTGGTGCCGAACGAGCCACATATGCAAGCAACTTTCCGCACACCGACTGGCGCGCGTCGTCAATTGATGATTCAAAGCATCCCTTCGCTTGTCCCGTGTCCCCCCTCCCGGTGTTTGCCATCGGGGTTGGGTTTTCGTCGCTTGGCAACGACGTTGTAAAACAAGCCAAGTCACTTCGTGAACTTGACAACCAGGTTACCGTTTTTGCTTTTTACCTCTGTTTTTTTTTTGGCGGTAACCATAATGGTGGTCGAGTAGATCATGTTGTGCGGGGTGGAGAACCCTCACTCCGCGCAAGGGGGATGATCGCACCACGTTGTGTTAAAATGGTCAAGCACCCTCGAGGCAGTTACACAGTGCTTACAACTGTCTCTGGAAGTGAAAGCACCAGAAAATAAAGTAATTCATACGCAGCTGTCATCCGTACGCAAGGAAGTAAGCACAAGATGCCGAACACCCTTAGCAGGATGCAGCGCACCCTTCATGCGACTCGCCGAATATCTCACGGCGCTTCGCGCTTGGTGATGTGAGAGCCTGGTCCGGTGAGAACCCGGCGTGCTCCGTCCCGGCTTTGTAGGGATGCGAGGTCAATGGTCTAACGACTACGGCATGCACGACGATGAGTACACCCCTTCCCCCTCGCTTGTCCCGACTATGTCCTCGTTTAGTGTTTCCGCCGATTTCAATCACCTGCTACCTACTGTTCTGAATACACAGCCCCCCCCCCCCTGATGGCCACTACCGTTAAGTGACGAAAAGGTGGTACCCCGGGTGGTGCCATTCGGATGCTTCCAAAACCCACGGGAAACACACGTGGCAACCTCACAAAAGGCATCATGTTCAACAAACGACACCTACTGTGTAACACACACAAAAGCAATATTCAAAAGAACTGCAGTTCGCATCCCGTGGAGGCGAGCGGGTGGGAAGAAAATCGCGCCGTTGTACTGAAATCAGATGCCTCCGCCGCCGCCCCTGCCCCCCTCCCCCGCGTGCGCGCCCACGGCACACGCATGATGCATTTACAATTGAGGCTCCCATGCTTGCCGAGAAACTGAAGCCAAGCCACATCAAACCGAGCTAGGTAACCGCTGTTGATTCCCACTGCTGTACCAAGGACATGGCGATCCTCTTTCACCTGACAACAACAAAAAAAGTTGCATGTGCCTCAAAACTAAGTATATGCTTGCCTGGTGCATTCCTGTTCGCATCTGGTGGGACAAATCGTTTTACTTTGTTGAGCAAGATCATCACCATAGTCGTAGTTTCTTTGTCATCACCAGTGCTTGTTGTGTGTTTTCTCGTCGTAGCGCCGCACGTGTAGGGATGCATGGTCTCCATATCGACGATACTACTACTACTAAGAGTCCAGAAGCGACGACACCCAAGACACCAATAATCAATGAATCCAACAGAGAGGGCAACGTCTATCAAACAGGGCTTGCGTGGTGGGTGCGCTCGCCCACAGCAGTGATGCTCAAGGAATACCTCAAGGCCCCAGCGGAAAAAATATGTGCGTGATGGCGCATGGTACGGCCAGTAGCAAATGGCACTCCACACCACGTCCCACGGGAGCTGTTTCTAAAACAAAAAACAACACAACCGATTGCCCACCGCAAACACCCTGAATGCGTGTTCGACACACGCACACACAAAAATCACCCGGTCCTCCGCAGCCATCAGTAGCTGTTATCACGTGCGCGCTGGGTTTCCAAAAGAACGGACAGACGGTGCTGCTTCACAGCCGGCGTGCGTTTCCACGAGCCGGAAACGGGCGGGGGGTACAAAAAACAGAAGAACAACGTGCATAGAAAATGCAGCAACACATAAAATCTGGCTAGATGATCAACTGATGGATATGCACACATCCATCAACTGCTTCTTCTGGACAACATTTTCCTCCTGCAAAGCTTGGTGCTGCGTGGAAAACAGCACGGAGCAGTATCATTCATTCCCCCCCCAAGAGGTGAAGACAAAAAAGACGGAAAGGGCGAACACGCACGCACGCGAGCCTGCCGCTGCACACCGAACATGCAACACAAGACTGTACCTCAAGGAGGAGAAACACACCTCCACGATGATTGGATAGGCCGTGTCTCTCACGTTGGTCGGGTTTCGCCTCACTCCACACGAAAAAAGGACGACCACACACACACATAATACAGAACAAGGACAAATATTCCCAGAACATCTTTCAGTTCCCCGCCATAGCTCGTAGTGGCTGCTCTCCCTACCGTCGCAACCACCTGCTTCGGCCCCTCAGACGCACACAAAACGAGACCAACTGACGGACGCACACCACGGATGATGGGAAATCCTTGCGCCGAACCGAAAAGTTGGCGACAAAACCGAAAAGGCCGCACCAAAAGTACGCCGAGCTATCGGACAACCCGCTTCCCGCGGCCTCACACAGCCGAAATCGCTGCTGCTATCGATCCCTCTCTTCTCGAAGACACACCAACGTCGTTCCTTGCTTGCCGTGCCCTTGCCACCAGGCCGGCCGTCGGCAACGTCTTTCCCCAACCCCGGGCGGTACCCCGTTTCGACGGGCCTTCCACCGCACCCTCTGCTTACCACATGGCTTGCAGACAGAGTGAGGCAGAGGCGCAGCAGCCAAGAAAGAGCCGTGCTACACTCTGCAGACGATGACGGGATGAAACGAAAAAAAAAAAAAAAA